TTTTTTTTTTTTTTTACGACTCTTTGGTTGCTTTGCAACAATTATGGTAATATCCATACAAAACATGTGGGAAGAAATTAAATGTATTCAGCTCTCCAACTTTTCATGGATGAAATTATAAACAATTGCTAAAGAGTTATGGATCATGTAGAAAGCTATAATTACAGCTAACAGTCCACTACAATAAGACTGTTTTATAGCTAATTGTCAACCGTTTTTAATCATTCAGTAGGACTTCAGTTTAAATGTTGGGTTTTCTTATATACGCATGTTTGAGGTTAATTTCACATCAACATCACTTTAATTGAAATGCTCTTTCAAACTAACAAGTGATGAGTATTTTAGTTCTTTGCCATCCAAATTGCAAAATCTGTTTAGTTTCCGTCTTAAAGTGTTTCATTTAAAATAACCCTCTGCATTTTATAAAGATTGTAAAATATGAATTATTTCATTGAATTTAAGCTTTGAAATAATTATTCTGGTCAATTTATTTTAATATTGACAGGCAATATTGATTGTAACCCTTTTACTTTTTGTCCAATTAGGCTTATTTCAGCAAAATCAATGACTACAGAGGAGGAGGATGTTGATGTTGCCCGAGAACGTCAGAGAGTGTATGAAGGCAAAGCTGAGAATGACCTGTTGAAGATCTGTGACCTCACAAAGGTTTGTGGCCTTGTTTTCGAATACCCTTTTAATCTGTGGTTATTCAGTCTTTTTATATGATAATTCAGTCCGTGGGCTGGTTTGCAAGACCATGCACCATTTTAACACACTTTGGCGTACTTCATATTCTATGTATGAACCATAAGATTCTAATGAGTGAAAGAACATAATGCTTGCAGATGATCCCCAGGTAGCTATTTTTTCTGTACATGTGACAATTTTGTGAATATGTATGGGAATTTTTCCTCATGAATATCATCAAATATATATTTTTGAGTCCTTGGCTATGTCTTTTCAATCAAACATCTGCATGTTGCTTTGTGTTTGCCCTTGCTCAGGGAGTTAGATTTTTTCATCTTACATAAAAATGAGTGTATTTTACATGTTTGACATGCACCGAGGCACACAGCAACCACCTCTTTTATTGGCAGCTCTGGAAAATGAGGTGGTAAAAGATTTAAAATCAATGTTTCTTGTATAGCATTAGCATTATCTTGCATTAAAAAATAACTTTCTTATGTTCTTATTTTCAGAAAAAATAACACTACTTGGTTAGATTTAATCAATTAGAAAAATACTCAGGATATTTTAAAAATCCTCATTAATTGTACAGTCTCTTCCACCCCTAACTGTTAATATGTAACTATAAAATAGTTTTTTTTTTTTTTTTTAAAACAGTCATTGGCTAGACCAGAGGTCACGGATTATCGGACCGTGGTCCAGATCCGAACCCACCTGCTGGCTAATCTGGACCCAACCTGATTTAAAACATTTATAAATTACCGCATGTTGTCCGACGACATTGTCTAACTTCACTTGCGCTGCTTCTCCTGTTAACATGGTAAAGCCGTCCGGAGTGTCCGGGACCAGGCTACACGTGATACACATTAGCCAATGAGCTTTGTCAGTCTGGGCTTGTCATGATGTTCTAAGGGGATCTGACCAACATGCAGAAAACATCTCAGAGAACCAGAGAAAAGGTTTAACAGGTTTATTGAAAGCACGATGAGTTGGATCCAGTGTTACTCAGAATGCTGGTGAACCGGAACTGGAAGTGAGAAGGGAAGTTCAGAGTTTAGTTCAGGCTCAGTGGGAAACTTTAGCGACAACTTGCAAAAACAGAGACTGAAACGGGACTCACGTTTCCAGGGAAAAGATGTCCTTCCCAGAATCCAGTCGGTGTGGGTTATTCCAGAACTTGGTTAACTCGTTGGAGGTCGGACAGGGTTTTACTCGGGTTTGGTTGGTTCCTGAGGAGCGATGGAGCTGACTGCCACTTAAATTTCCTGAAGTACTTGAACGGTTTGTGTGGAGATTAATCCCCTGCTCAGTGTGAAGCTCGAACTATCCTTTCAGGGGGAGAAGGTCCAAACATCCAGTTTGCATCCCCTGCTTAGTGTGAAGCTCATACAATCCTTTCAGGGGGAGAAGGCCAAAACATCCAGTTTGCAGGATGACTTCCTGCTGAGAGGCAGAGACAAAAACAACAAGGTTAGGGCTCAGGGAGACAAAGACTCAGTTAGACTCTGCTAAACTCAGCTTGGCTAGAGTACCCAAAACTGGCAAACACTCTGGCGTCGAGGTAGAGGCAGTCAGCACCTTAAGATTCCTCAGATAATGAGGCAACCATCCGCAGGTGTGTGGAAGGGCCAACGAGAAACGGGCGCCACCTGGTGATGGAGGGGAAAAAACACAAACACACAACCCACACACACTGGATTCCTAATAGGGCTGCTGCCTCTAGCTACCTTTAGACATAGCAAGCAAACCTGTGGCAAGCCGGGTGATGTGAAAGAAGGACAAGACTATGAAAAAAAGTGAAAGAAAGTATGTCGACTGCTGGAAGAACTGCGGTGAACTGGTGACAGAAAAGTGAAATGGCGTGCTCAAAGATGATCCTGCACATTTTGAATATTTTTGGCTCAACCTACTGCTGTGAAGCAGGATTCTCCACCATGAACATAATCAAAAATAAATATCTATTCAGGCTCAAAATGAGCACCTTGATATGTGCGTTAGAATTGCTTTGTCACCATTGAAACCCAGGTTTGAAGCCTTGCAGGGCAGCGTAAAGCCCACCTTTCTCATTAAGCCATAAAAAACACGAAAACAGTTGGAATACATATTCACATATTTATAAAATATGTGAATCAGGAAATTGTCTATATACCAAACTGTACGATTGTTGTTCTCTACTTAAAGAAAACACTTTAGATTTTAAAATAAAAACTATATATATATGTTTTTTTTTCTATTTTTTTATTTATAAAGTCATTGTATAACATGGATGCATATACACCTCATTTTATTGTGTTAAATTCTGTTTAAAGTAACAGATTATGATTAAAAATGTCTCCGGACCTTTACTGATTGATGATTTTCTTAATATGGATCCCACTGATATTTAATTGGTTATCCCTGGGCTAGACTGTAAATGAGCAACAAAATAGCTAAATTCCTTTTTGGGAAAAAACTCTAGACCTTATGGCACAATCGTTTTTTTTAGATTTAGAGATCTTGGGATTACTCCTTCAGGATAATTCTGGTTCCAGCTTATGTTAAAGCAGAATGCTATTAAAGATAGAAAGACAACAGACAATATAAAAATATATAGATGAAATGTGAAAATGAGTATGGGACAAAGCAAGCTGTTAAAAAAAAGCGAGGTGACAAATCTTGGTTTTATTGTTAAAACTCTGGCCTTCAGTTCATTACAGTACTAGTTTGTGCATCTACAAGACGGCAGAATTAATGTTTGCTCCACTGGCAGATGTTCCCTCCCCGCGGGCAGCGTTACAGCAGGAAGTGTCACAATGGCAGCTTCCTCAGCACCTCTGATACCGACAGTTGGCTGATCTAAAAGCCTTTTGCTTCATACCACCTTCCCTTACTTTTCCGCTCCCTTGGTCCCCTCCGTCTCACCGTACTTAATCTTTCGCTTATTGCTCATTCGCACAGTTGGCGTCACGCTCTCAGGGATAATTACTGAACAAGTGCTGGCTGAAACAGTTGGATGGGTAATGTATTACAAATCATCTCTCAAGGTGAAAAGAATGAGGATTGTATAGTTGTTCCTCTTCAGGAAGGATTTGTTTAACCTTTTGGGGAATGATGTCCTATCAGAGCCACAGATTAACCCTAACTCTTCTGCTGTTGATGGAGAGCAAGTAGCTTGTATACCCCTTCACCAATAACAGTTTGTCAGATGACACATATTCTGTCACTATTGAGAAAACAGCAGCATGTTGGCAGAAGGCATCAGGATTCTTCATGCAGTGCCCTCATTGACTCCCACAACAGCTGTGGCCCATCCATTTGAGGGGCGGGCTTAGATAACAAATTGATCAATGAGCACACAGCTTTGGTGGCCACACACCACGGGCTACACCCTGTCATAAATCCAGGAATGCCTCTGAGGCGATCGACAGCCCATCCGTCATGTGTCGGATTTCTAAACCACCATCCCTTCCTCTCCTTTTTCAGGCTGCTCCAAACACCCAGAGTTTGGACACATCTGCTAGCCTCCACTTAGCATTAGTGCCTCTACTGTCATCGATTAAGACTCTAATGGGAGCTTGTCCATCTGAGAGCCCTTCTACGGATGCCACTGTCAGCTCAGCGTCTCAGACGCTCATTAAGTTGACAGGGAAGTTTTTCGGAGTCCCTGTGACAGATGTTTGAGTTCAGAGGATGAACAGATGAGTGGCATCTCTGTTTGCTCAAGCTCGGCTAACGTGATAAAATGTGCCCTTGGACAGTGGGACGAATCAGACAAGTGTTTCTTACTGAATCTTTGCTAAAGTCTTATCTCTGCCCTCGCATTCCACTATCTTTTCATAAAGGGGGAAATAGGAGTTTGATGCCGTAATGCTCTTTTTCTACACATAGCTCTCTTATAAAAAAAATAAAAACTGGGTTTGTACACTGTCTGAGAAAGCTTGAAAAGTCTAGATTTTTTAGTATTTTAGAAAAAAAAATTAAAATAATTCTACTGAAAATCAGTGTTTTTTCAATATCAATGAACAATAAGAATAATAAAGTTTCACAAAGTCACACAATACATTTTACGAAGAAGCTTTAAGTGAACATGAGGAAAGCTGTGGATAAAACATGTCCTCACAAGCTGAGATGTGTGGCATGCTGATAGTCTCCTATGCTTCACTACCTAAATTAAAGGAAATAGTGCTTAAACAATGGTGTTTTTAACAAGAGACACTCTTGTGCACATGTTTTTTTGCATGTGCACAAGTGTTTGTTTCCTTCTTTCATGTATTTTTCCTTGATGTATCTCAGACACGTATACATATATATATATATATATATATATATATATATATATATATATATATATATATTAGGGGTGGAACGGTTCACAAAATCCACAGTTCAGTTCGATTCACGGTTTCGTGGTCACGGTTTTCAGTTCGGTTCGATATATGTTGATTGTTACATCGAAATCCCATAAAAATTTATGAAATTAATGAAAAAAATCCCCCAAAAAATAATGGATTATAATTATTTTAAATGATCCGCGGAAACCATGGATCATTTCCGTATGTTTTGCTGCTTTCAATTTAATCATCTCGCGCATGCTCTCTACCATCTCCAAGGGACTCAGAGGGGAGCGGACG